TGTTGTGTAATAGTGGCAAATATCGCTGTTGCTACTGTATACATTATATTGTTGTGTAACAGTGGAAAATATCGCTGTTGCTACTGTATACATTATATTGTTGTGTAACAGTGGAAAATATTGTTGTTGCTACTGTATACATTATATTGTTGTGTAACAGTGGAAAATATTGTTGTTGCTACTGTATACATTATATTGTTGTGTAACAGTGGAAAATATTGTTGTTGCTACTGTATACATTGTGTTGTTGTATTATATAGGAAAGTATCATGGTTGGTGAAAACCAACAGCTTTGTGAAACGTTACTGCGATTTTTTCACAAGATAGCAAGGTTTAGAGGAGACTGCTGTTCACCTGCTAGAGCAGGGGGTCTCCATACTATAGCCCGCGACTTCGGTTGATCCGGTCCGCCAACAGTTTATTAAAGTAATAATCTAATTTTTAATATTATAAAAACAAAAAGTAAAACGTAATTGAGCAAAAGCCAATCTGATCATGTGTGCATCCCTACTTAATTTTATCACGACCCCTCCGGCCCGCGAAGCCTAAAAAGATCTACCTCCCGGCTCTGGTCCAAAAAGGTTTGGAGACCCCTGTGCTAGAGAATCATAACCATAAATAACAAGTGAAATAATAAATAAAGAGTCGTGAATGACAAGTCGTACTTCGTTAGGATAAATGAAACAGTGTTTAATTATTCTGACTTACATTATAATTCGAATAAAGTGAACAACTCTGTGGGTTTGATTGAAGACTAGCAAACAAACCGTTTCCGAAATTCGTAATTGTCATGAATGATTTCGCAATTTCATAGAGAAAAATTAACAATAAAAGTAACAGATGCAATTATCTCCTCTTAACAAACATTTTGATTAAAATCCCTACGATTTTCAGCCACCCTCCTTTCGAAATTTCATAGTTATTCGCTCCCTCTAGCCATTTCAACAGTTTATTATTAAATAGTCTTCTAGTGATATTAAGCATGGTTAAGATTAATATTTTTTAGTTAATGTTATGAACATAGAACAAAAGTGCAGGATATAATCTAAAGGAAAAATGCCAATATTAGGTTTGGCTTGTTTTATTTTCTTTGTTTGTTTATAATTAATTACAAAGCTTCACAATGGGCTATCTGTGCTCTGCCCACCACGGGTATCGAAACCCGGATTCTAGCGTTGTAAGTGCGCAGACATACCGCTGTGCTACTGGGGGGCAGATTGGTTTATACTGGTTAAAATTTATTATAAATAAAATGAAAGAAATAAAATAGAATTAAATAACCAATCCTTAACTAATGTGATCTATCATCTCTGAAATGATCATAGCCTAAGCCTAACATTGACTTTTTCCGTAAACGGTACCCTCCCAGTGTGTCAGCGTTAAGTTTACGGAGTTACAAAGCTTAATCCTGGGGTTCGATTCCCGCAGTAGACAGAGCTAAGATAGTTCATGGTGTAGCTTTGCGCTAAAACAACAAAAACCATAAACCGCTCGCTGCGCCTTCTTTGCTTACTGTCGCAATCTTTTTTTTAAATATGAAACCCGCCTAATTATAGCCCACTCTTTCACAGAAGCGGAAATTTTGCACCCACAAAATTGAAGCACTTTAAGCCCTAACTTTGTAGGCCTATTGATGCATGTGTTTTGCATAAATAAACCACACCCTAGATAGCAAACATTACTTTCAAACTCTTACGTCAAAGCTTTTGAGACCCCCCACCCCCCAGTGGCACAGCGGTATGTCTGCGGATTTACAACGCTAGAATCTGGGTTTCGACACCCGTGGTGGGCAGAGCGCAGACAGCCCATTGTGTAGCTTTGTGCTTAATTACAAACAAACAAAGCTTTTAAAGGTCAAAGAAATGTGTTTTCATGTCATTATCTGATTGGAGACGGAGCATATGTATTATGATCACGTCTGTCGTCTCAACTAGCACTTTGTATGACTTCCATTAAAACACTCGTCTTCACTAGCGTTTTTTCATAACGTCTATCAAGTCACACTTCCTAACTAGCACCTTGTATAAATTCTATTAAGTCACTCGTCTTAACTAGCACCTAGTATAATGTCCATCAAGTCACACGACTTAACTAGCACCTTCGATGACGAGGAATCCACTTTGAGACTAATAATGCTTGGAGACGGCTTGAATGGGTAATGAAGAAAATATTTAATATAATTATAGCATTTTGGCACTTGTGTATAAAGTTAAAATCATAAATAATATTCAACGTTAAACTGGTACACAATTAAAAACATTTTATTTAGGCCTATCTATGGCCTTCAAAAAGTTGACGTTTCGACGTTACAACGTCATCCTAAGGAGTGAATTACAAGACAATTGCCAAAGTATTTATAGTTTGTTAGTAGGTCATTGACCTGTATGTTATTTTTCATACATTCAATAACCTACTAACAAGTTATAAATTCTTTGGCAATTGTCTTGTAACTCACTCCTGAGGATGACGTTGTAACGTCGAAACATGTAAAGCCGTCAACTTTTTGAAGGCCATAGATAGGCCTAAATAAAATGTTTTTAATTGTGTACCAGTTTAACGTTGAATATTATTTATGATTTTAACTTTATACACAAGTGCCAAAAT